ACATTAAGGTTAATAATGTAAATTGTGTTTTGTAGTTTTAGTACTGGTGTTGCTAAGAAGGTAACTTACTTGCAAAAAAAGGATTCTTATTCTGCCAGTGTTCAAAAAAACAGGTTAATATGTGAAACAATAGGAGCAATAACATCTTACTGATTCAGAGTAAAAGCTGAAACTTTCCACACCTCAAAGAAAAAGCTGTCTAAATTATAAAAAGAAACATAAAACTGAATGAAAACATGATAAAAGCTACATTAAGGAGAAACTGGTAAATGCTCAGTAAAAATCATATCTGAAGATTAATTTGAAAAGAGACTTARTTTTCAGATCACAAAGGGGGAGTTTGTAAAAAAATATTTAGTTATTTAATGAAAAAATCTGTTTTAATTTGGACAACCTTCAACCATCCATCCAAACATCACAGATGTAAGATGTGTTCTATTATAGGTGTTTTAGTTCTTCATTAAAACATTTATACAAGCAATGTGAAACCTGTCTAACAAATCAACTTCTTGCTGTTTTAAATTTCCTTTACTTGTGCTGCTGAGCACAACAGGTTTTAAACTCTTAGAAAGTTTTATTGTAAATAAAACACATCTAGAACTGTTTAATACTTTTAAACAAATTCTCAAATGTAATAGTCTCTAAGTTTCTGGTTTGATTATCAAATAACAAAGAATAAAACTTAGTTTGCTCAATTTCTAAAATAAACAAAAAAGCTTAATAAAACAACTCAGTGCTGCTGCTGTGTTATTTAATGTAATACAATTCTGATAGTCTAATTATAGCAAAGGGTTTTCGTGTTTTTATATAAAAATACACTGTTAAGCTGTTTATCTCTATAGCTTCTTTAACGYTTGGCAGTTAAACATTAATATGCTTTGGCATATTTTTCACTTATTTATTGAYACGTGGCAGTACTTATGATGTTTATTTTTATCTTTCCTCAAAAAAAGGGGGACAAATAAAAGAACTAAAGCTTTTGTGACCAGATTTGAAATGTTCCTCGTCCTGTCTTGTCCAGCAGAGGRCAGTGTGGAGCAGCAGATAAACTGACATTATCTGACTGTGGCAGAGGTCATGAATGTGTTCACAGAGTAATTATGATTATTTTTGACACTTTCACCTTTGATTTGTTCAGCTCTGAGTCATGATGTCAGGGTTTATTCCCGTCCTTGTGACCTCACTTTTATTGTTTCCTGTGATCAGGAAGATGTGTTTCAGTTTGAACACAAACCAGGAACACAGGTTTACATGTACACGTATGTAGATATATATTTTTTTGTTTTTACTCCACACATGATAAGTGTTCTCATTAAAACTTGACAGTCTTTGTTGGCACAAACAGCTGGATCACAGATGTTTTCCTCTTGCTTTAGAAGAAAAAGTCAAATCCTGAACAAGCTGCATCCTTTCTCCGCAGATTGAGTTTGTTTTGTTCTGAAACTTTCCTCCTCTAAACAAGAACAAATGTGCGCTGTGCTTCAGGTGATCCACGTCCGTCTCTTTGTGTGGTTTGAGTTCAGGTACCAACAATCCCCCGCGCCTCTTCTGCACGTCTGAAGAGCTTCTCCTGTCAGACCTGCGCCTCCTCCATCACCTCCATGACGATCGTCCTGGGCCCCGTCAGGATCAGGTTGCTGACGGTCCGGTAGTCGTGACACAAGACGTTCAGTCCGTTCACCGACACCACAAACTGACAAACCTGCAGACGGACAGAGAGGAAAACATTGTTTTTTTAATCTTTAGGATTAAACATAAATGCCAAAATAAAGAGGAATTTATGTTTTTCCTGTAGCAAAAAGATCTGTTCCAGCAGTGCCTTGTTTTAATGCTACTGAATGCTAAATGCTAATAAATGATACAAACTGGTAATTATATTTGTTTTAGATACAGTAATTTTTAAAAAAAAAATCTTTCAGGTTTAGATCTTGGCTACATAAAACAATGTAAACAGGTCATAAATGACTCCTGCAGAACAATGTAAAAAAAAAAAACATTAAGAACATTTTCTTTCATTAGAARTTATAAACCAAACACATCACTGGATGGATTTTCCTATAATCTGTTACAGTTTTGCTTGACTGGCACTTGTTWTGGTTCACTTTGACACAAAGCTATAATAAAGATGTAAATGAGACAGTAAAACAGCAGGAAGAACGCAATCATCACTCTCTGCTCAYGCACAAACCTTCTTATCTTCATCTTGTCACTGCTCCAACAGATAAAACCAAAACTTCTCGTTTGTGACTCATCCAGAGAAAAATAAAAGTGGTGTCCTGATATACTTGTATTTTTACAAGTAATTGTAATAAAAAAAAGACTCGATACTCAGGACCGATACCAGGATCAATTCTGGYATTGAATTGAATGTTACAGTTATGCAGTGTTGTGCAAAATCGACTGTTATAATGTCATTCCCTCATCAAACACAAACCCAGAGTGTTGCTTKGACTCATTCGTGCATGTTTGATAAATCCTTGAATCTCCTGTGGTAGACACGAGGAGCTGCCTAAACACTATCTGGTACAAAGTCCCACCCTGAAGCTCAGTGCGCAGCTGAGCCCCTGCCCCACAGAGCGCCGCTCCCCCCGAAGTTTTGTTGCGAAGACATGCTGAAGTGGGAGTGTCAGAAACGGTAGGATGTTCTTAAAGAGACAGGGGCCAATTTCTAGTTGTTTAGATAGACTATGGTGTAAAGTCTAATTCATTTTTGAAATATACAGCTTTTTCATAACAGCTGAAGACAGCATTTATTTGATTGTGGTGTAGAATTATACAGAAGACGCTGCAGTCATCAAAGAAAAAAATACACGTAATTACGATCTCGTAATTACGAATTTAGAACTTGTAATTACGAGATCCTGATCTCATAACTATGAGAAACGTTGAGGAGAGTCCTCGCTGACCTACACTACATGAAAAGTGGACAATCAAATTTGATTTGCTTTCATTTCA